TTCCTCAAATAGTTGTGTGGTGGTGCCTCAGTCTGTTCTCCCTCGAATCATTTTCCCAAATCTATCGTTTCTGGTAAAACATTGGCTGAATTTCTCAGTCCTCAACACTAATGGGTGCAACTGTTTTGGCTCACAATTAACCCTGCAAGGGAGGGAGAGCAGGGACCTTGATGCAGCCCGTCACCCACCACCTCTCCTTTTCCTCCTCCCTCCCTGGGTTGTCTGGTGCAGTCTTAGGACAGGAGCATGATGAGAAGGGGCCAGTATTGTTTCTCTAGCCCCCCCCCCAAGCCAATCATGGTCTGCAAAGGGGCCAAAATGTTGAGATGCGGGAAGGCACTCTAAAGAAAGATCAGGCAGGCAGGAGGAAGGGGAGGCCGGCCAAAGGACACCCTCAGTGAGCCACCTGCAAAACGGGATCATTTCTGCCTATTTCCACAGCTTCGTTGCCAAGGAAGATGAGCAAATATAGTTCCTAACTCTATCAAAAAACGGCTCCCTATGAGCTCTGCCTTTCATGGCAAACCTTGTACATGTGCCCTTTAAGGACATCCTGGCTCCTAGGTTTTGCACTGGCGGATAATCGGTGCGTGCCATGGATGTCTCCTTTTATGTCCATGCATGACAAAAATCAAAGGAGGTAAAATACAGGGATAGAATATTTTGTGGGAACCTGACCTAAAAGAATAACCATCATTTCTGTCGTCATCAGCATCAGCAAGGCCGTGCATTGTTATTTCTCAAGAGACACCCTCTTCTGAAGGAATCTTGGGCTCTTATGCAGTGGCTCACTAAGTTCAAGCAGATCCTCTGTATTCACATGTTTGTTTTCTGCCAGAGCTTAAGCAGTTCTGTGCATCCAAACCGCTAAAAGTACATCCAGGGAAACAGAGCGTTCCCGTTGTTCCGAAGCCTCTTGTTTTCTTTGTGCACCCCTGCGGTGGAGTTTACGGAAGTTGCTTTTCAGACAACACTTCCCAGCAACCCCCCCCATTAGTTACTCCCCAGGATTTTAGGAGGTGCTGTACAAAACACTAGCATTTCCAGTGTACGGATGGATTCCAACTTTCTATGTAACTTGGGTGAGATTATGCCTCACTACCACTACGAGATGTGAGTCCCCTGGATTGCAAGGAGAACAAATCTATCCATTCTAAAGGAAATCAACCCTGAATGCTCCCTGGAAGGACAGATCCTGAAGCTGAGGCTCCACTACTTTGGCCCTCTCATGAGAAGAGAAGAGTCCTTGGAAAAGACCCTGATGTTGGGAAAGGGTGAAGGCAAGAGGAGAAGGGGATGACAGAGGATGAGATGGATGGACAGGGTCACCGAAGCAACCAACATGAATCTGACCCAATTCCGGGAGGCAGCAGAAGACAGGAGGGCCTGGAGTGCTCTGGTCCATGGGGGTCACGAAGAGTCGGACACAACTTAACAACTAAACAACAGCAACACAGGATGTGAGCACCTCCTAAGTTTCCACCCTTTTCTGTTTAGCTCTTCCCTGCTTATACCAATTCATTCACCCCAATTCTGATTATTGATTGATTGATTCAAAATATTTCTACCCCACCCTTCTTTTTAAAAAAGGATTTTAAAAGCAAGCAAATCAATCCTGGGACATGAAAGGCAATGTCCGACTTGTGCTTTCTTTCCCGGCCACCGGGTGCTGCGAAACGGCAAACCCTGTGGAGAAAAGGGAGGGGAGAAAGGGGGTCCTTTCCTACAGGTGTAAGGAGGACCCCGTGAAAAGAAGCAGAAAGCCCAACTCACCAGCCCAAGAACCAGCCTCACGGCAACCTGAAGCCATGCACCACGGCGAGCGCACCGGGCACCCGCTGGGGACATGGAGTGTGCTTGGCACATGCACGCTGGGCTTATTCCCCCTGATCCTATCATGGAGCTATAAATAACCCGAAGGGACCTTCTGAGTCAACTGCAAGAAGAAAAGAAGGAAGGAAGGTGGCCTGGGAGGCCCAGCGTGACCTTCAGGGTTTTATCAGCGTGCAGGAGATTATGCCGGCGGGGCCAGACTGTTCTTAGGCCCCCGGAGAGAGGAGGAGGAGGCCACGTCGGCAGAAGAGGTCCTATAAAATGCCCCCTCTTCTGCCTACATGGATAGACCGAGGGCAGGGTCTAAGTTGACACCTACAAGGAGATCTGCAAGCGGGATCTGAAGGCCTTAGGGATGGACCTCAACAGATGGGAAACCCTGACATCGGAGCGTTCAGCCTGGAGGCAGGCGGTGCATCACGGCCTCTCCCAATTTGAAGAGACCCTCGACCAGCAGGCCGAGGCCAAGAGGCACTCCTGAAACTAGACAAATCAGGGAGCTGGACAGGGGACACTCCCAGTGAATGGTATCTTAGAAAGAAGGTGTGAAAGAGGAAAGAGAGAGAGCTAAAATATGTATGCTGTGGATACAGAAGGGAAGAAGGAGAAGCTTTTCTCCTTCCCGTGTAATGCTAGAATCCAAGAGGGAATCATCCCCTGATGCTGAATGTTAGAAGATTCAAAAGAAGAGCCCTTGGTGTCATGGACTCACAACTCATACGGTCAAATCCTCTGATTTCAAAGAGAGCTGCACCTCTCTGCTGGGAGCTTTTCTCTCTCTCTAGAGTTAGTGAAAATCTATTGCTGAAAGCAGTTTGTTTGTTAATTTGCTGTTAGATCTTTTCAATTGTGAGTAGTGAACCTTCTATCCTTTCTCCTTCTCATGTTGCAGAATAAGTAATTGAGACTGTAAGTGCCAGTTGATGAAAAATGGGGTAGACTACTCTGGAGAATTCGAAGCTATTCAGCTGCTCAGCTGGAGGAATTTCATCAAAAATCTAAAACTCTGCAACAATTCTTAACTGTTCATATCTCCCCCCTCCACACCCACCCACCCGATCAGTCATACGATCCAGGAAGCTGAGTTTTGCCATGATGGAAACAAGAAGCTCTTTGTTTCTGAAGAGGGCTTTGCTGAGTATATTTGCCTTCAGTCATTATATTTATCATTGTTTGCCACATGTCCAATTGCTACTCCCAGACATGGCCTGGAAATATTCATTGTCTGTACTACAATAACTGCCAAACTGGGGGATTCTGGGAGTTGTAGTCTGAGAAAAGTGACCTGTCTGATTTGTATTCTCAGTGACAGAAGACCTTCTGAATCAACACTGGTAAATACCGGTCATGCAAAGGAGTCTTCTTTTCTACTTATGCAGTCATTGTGTCACAATGGCTCAACTGCAGTACTGCAGGGAAAACTCCGCTCCCAACCCTGGTTCAATCACAGGTAGCTGGCCTGAGGTTCACCTCATAAGCGAAACATGAGCCAACAGCACAATGCGGCAGCAAAAAAAGTGAATGCAATACTTGGTGGCATCAACAGAATGGTAGTATCATGATCAAGGGAAGTCATGGTGCCGACTCTCTTCCGGTTTGGTCAGACCTCACTTAGGGGACTGTGCCCAGTTTTTTCGGGCATCACAAGTGAAGAAGGATATGATGAAGGCAGAGCTGGTCCAGAGAAGGGTGAGCAGGTTTGGAAACCAAACCC